TTTGGCATCTGGGTTCTCTATCCCACTTGGAACCGCTGTATACATAGCAGCCATACAGCAGCTGTCTGTGTACCTTGTTAACATCTGTCCCTCACATGTACCCTGTCCCGGAGATTGAATTTTAGGGTCTCCACAGAGCTCCGAGTTGACAGTGTTGAAACATCTCTCAGGGCCAGGGTTCATAGCTATGTGGGAGGTTAGTGATGTTAGCCTAGTTTTAGAGCTAGAGCTCCATATCAAGGTCCTCTGGGATCACAGCCATCTGTACTCCTTTCATTCATTCATTCCATTGTCAATTCATCAAGCATGTTTTGAATACCAAGTGTGTGCCAGGCACTGACTAAGAACCAGTGCATATATACACAGGGAGCAAGAGACACTATCCCTGTCCACAAGGTGTGTAGTCTAGTGGCGAAGACAGACAGGGTAGCCATTTGTATTAACTCTTTGTGTCTCCTAACTGTGAGCTACCCAAGAGCAGTATTCAGTATTATGTTTCCTGAGTGTGAGCTACCCGAGTGACCACTTTTAAGTTGTTATTGCAATTAATATTTCAACTGTGACAAGAGCTCTGTAAATTCTTTCAAAATAATCACCTTTTCCTTTCTTGAGTCCTGCTTGCGTCAACAATACAGAGCTTTAAATATATACAGTGCTCCAAAAATTCTCTCCAGAACTCTAAAAAGTGGCATGTACCCATCCTCCCGTCAACGGGGCAAATTCCTCAGAGACTGGGGTGAACGAGTCAAGAAATCAAGATTATCTGCACAGTAAACCAATAAATGGGAATCTCTTTTATTTTATTAAAAGTCTTTGATCCTGGACAAAGTTAAAAAAAAAAAAAAAGCAGTAAACAACAAAGGCTGGAAAGCGAAAAATAGGGGAAACTGACAAGATGTTTCTTTCACTGAAAAAGGCACTCCCAGCATCCTTCTACTACCATTTCTTTGAAAGAAAATGTCCAAACCATTGAAAACTTTTTTGTTAAGAAAATAATTCCTAACTATATACTGAAAACACTTCTCATTGTTTAATTTGGAATGTGCTGGGCTGACTGGAATGTTTTGCTTTGGAATGTTAAGCCCTTGCCTTAAGAAATTCTACCTTACACCAAAGCCTCAAGACCCCATTGCAAACCATTAGTGTTTCCACTGGGACTCACCACTGAAATAATATGAAAGTCTCATGACAAAGACTTCCCAGTAACAAATCTCCAGAAGCATGCAGAAGAAGCAGCACTTTTACTTTTCTAAGTTAGAAGACAGTCCAACTGCCTGGGTTAATCAAAATGCTTATACAATTAGCACTTTAAAAAAAAAGAAAAGTGATTCCCTACCCCCCATCTACCTCTCTAGTCTCATGTTCCACCACTTGTCATTACACACCCTATGCCCCAGTCATACAAATCTAGGAGAAGTTCTTGAATCAGGCAGGCTGAAAACAGAAATGGCAGGAAGATTTGGCCAAATTCTTGGGTTTATTCAGGGACGGTTGTGGTGACTGAGGTAGAACCATGGCAGGCAACCATGCTTGCCTAAAATAAACGGGACTCGAAGACACATATGTTAGGGATTCTTGATCCATCATCTTTCTGACCAATACCTCCACAAAATATACATCCCTTGGGTCACATGTTTTGTCTGTGAGCTGGGCCTTAAATATTCCCTCTTTAAACTTTGTGAACGAGCGGATCATCTCCTACCTAAACTATGAAAACTGCATCCTAATTAGATCCATCCTCTACACCGAAGCTAAAATTGTTTTTCTAAAACAAGTCTGATTATTAAAAAAAAATCCTTCAGTGGTGCCTGTTATTTACAGTGACTTCCAGCTAGGTGGGAATCCTCCCCTGGAGTATGTATGTGGGATATGCGGGCATACTAGAGCCACCTCAGGGATTTTTCAAAACTTCACGCACAGGAATATGTGCCATTACCTTCCCCACTCAAGTCCAGTTGGTGGCCCACCTGCTGAAAATAGCTGCCATGCTGGCTCAGTTATAGGTATGTGATGTATCCCGCTGTTACGCTAAGGGATACAACACAAAACAAAACAAAGGATATGCGTACACCCATAAGGTTGAGGAGCTCTCACTGCAGGATGAAGTCCTACTTCCTTAGCAAGCTATACAATGTCCTGCACAATATCCTCCCTGCTTTCTTCCCAGTCTCATCTTCATCCACTCCCCCCATTATACACCAACAATACAAACTCAGTGAATTCCTAAACTAGACTTGCTTTTTCATACTTATATTTCTTTATACTATTCCATTTACCCAGAGTGCACTTCTCCTCTTATAAAGTTAGTCATTTTCTATTTAACTTTTAAGAAGGCACCAACAATTATATCTTCAGCTAGAGTCTGCCCCTGCATTTCAGGCTTGTATACCTCCATCTGTACATTTAGAAAGCAATCTAAATTTAACGTGGCCAAAGCAAGCTCCTGGACTCCACCTACCCTATTTGCTACTCCTGCAGTCTGCCCCATTTCTGTTCACTGCAACTCCATTCTTCCAGCTGATTTTCTACCTCGAAATCCAATCAGCAAGGGCATGCATGATCTGATCTCACTTCCCACCATGCTCCACCCCTCCTCCCACTCTGCGCCAGTCATACTGGCCTCCTATTTCTGAAACACACCAAGCAGATACTGATCTCCAGGCCTTGTAATTGCTGTCTTTTCTGCTTGGAATGCTCTCCTCCTAGATGTCCCTATGGTCACTCCCTCATTTCCTTCAAGTGTCTGCTAAAATGTTATCACACAGGAAACCACTTTTTATAGAACAGGGCCAGCTCACCATCACTATACATCTCCCTCCCTTACTTGCTTAATTCTTCATAGTACTTGTCACTACTTGACATCTTGCATCTTGTTATCTGCCCCTCAGTCACCACACTGGAAGGAGCCCTGTGTGTCACAGTGGTTAAAGCGCTCAGCTGCTAACCGTTTGAACCCACCAGCCACTCCTTGTGAGAAAGATGTGGCAGTCTGCTTCTGTAAAGATTATAGCCTTGGAAATCCTGCGGGGCAGCTCTACTCTATACTATAGGGTTGCTATGAGTCTGAATCAACCAGTAACAAATATAAGTATGGGTTTGGCTTTTTTTTGTTGGTTTTCACCACACTAAAATGTAAACATCACAAAAGCCAGGATTTTTGTTGTTGTTGTTGTTGCCTATCATATCTCCAGTTCCTAAAACAGCACCTGGCAAATGGTAGGTGCTCTATAAACATGTTATTGTGATTCTTGTTATTTGTCAATTCCCCTGAAAGGTGATATGGGACTTTTGGTTAAACATTTTGAATTTAACATATGAATTTATTTCTGCTTCTTCCTAAAACCCCACTAAACTGGCAGTAAAGGGATTTTTTTTAAAAGATAAAGGGAATGGATGTGGAGACATCAATAAGGCCGTGTACACTGACCACCTATTTAAATTCTTACCCTCCTCCCTAGTCTTATGCTCTTTTTTGTTCCCTCATAGCACTGTCTTCTAGATTGATATGATTATAAACTATGCTAATTTGTCAGCCTCATACTTAGAATGGGAGCTCCAAGAAGGCAGGGATCCTTATTTTATTCATTGAGGTAGTATTCTAAGTATTTGACTCAGGAAGCATCAAAAGAAGATGGAAGGAATACAGAGTCAGTGTTCCAAAAAGAATTGGGTGACATTCAACCATTTCAGGAGGTAATATATGATCAAGAATCTATGGCATTGAAGAAAAAAGTCCAAAAAGCACTGAAGGCACTGATGAAAACAAGGCTCCAGGAATTGATGGAATAGCAACTAAAATATTTCAACAAATGGATGCAATACTGGAAGCACT